TGACGACGATGACGATGAGGATGAGGATGAGGATGAGGATGAGGATGAGGATGAGGGTGAGGATGATGATGATGATGAGGAGGATGATGAGGATGATGATGATGCTGCTGCTGATGATGATGATAATCATGATGATGATAATTCCCTACCTAGGATCTGTCTAGAAGGGTTCTTACTCTCTGGGCTTAAAGGGGCCGGGCAGTGGAAAGCGCCCCGGGCATTTCCCCCAGTGTCCGCCCCGCGGTTCCCCCAGTTACGTCCCCTTAGCTTAGCGTTGCTTATCTCATCTTAGCTTAGCTTATTTCATCTTAGCTTAGCTTAGCTTCATCTTAGCTCAGGTTTATCTTAGCTTTGCTTACCTTCATCTTAGCTTCGCTGAGCTTTAGCATAGCATAGCAGAGTATAGCATAGCATAGCCAAGCATAGCATAGCATAACATAGCGCAGCATAGCATAGCATAGCATAGCATAACATAGCATAGCATAGCATAGCATGGCATAGCATATCGCAACTTAGCATAGCATAGCTTAGCATAACTTAGCATTTCACAGCGCAGCATGACATAGCATAGCTTAGCATATCATAGCATACCATAGCATAGCGTAGCATAGCACAGCATAGCGCAGCATGGCATAGCATAGCATAGCATAGCAACTAATGCTGCTTTCCTAGGGGCTCCAACTTCTAGGTAGGGTCGCACTGGGGTACTGTTGATGTTAGCTGGAGGAGGATGAAGAGGAGGATGAGGAGGAGGAGGAGGAGGCGGAGGAGCAGGAGGGCTGGGAGGACGACGACGGCAACGACGACGACGACGAGAAGGACGAGGAGGACGAGGGGAGGAGGGGAGGACGAGGAGGACGACGACGTCAACGACGACGGACGACCGGCGACGTTCTTCTCACCATGTAGTTCCCTGCCTAGGCTCTGCCTAGAAGGGTTCTTACTCTCTGGGCTTAAAGGGGCCGGGCAGTGGAAAGCGCCCCGGGCATTTCCCCATCCGCCCCGCGGTTCCCCCAGTTACGTCCCCTTAGCTTAGCGTTGCTTATCTCATCTTAGCTTAGCTTATTTCATCTTAGCTTAGCTTAGCTTCATCTTAGCTCAGCTTTATCTTAGCTTAGTTTACCTTCATTTAGCTTCGCTGAGCTTTAGCATAGCAGAGCACAGCATAGCATAGCATAACATAGCGTAGCAAAGCATAGCGCAGCACAGCATATCATAGCATAGCCCAGCATAGCATTGCATTGCGCAGCATAGCATAGCATAACATAGCATATCATAGCGCAGCACAGCACAGCACAGCATAGCACAGCGCAGCATAACATGGCATAGCATAGCAGAGCATAGCAGAGCATAGCAGAGCATAGCAGAGCATAGCAGAGCACAACATAGCATAACATATTATAGCATATCGCAGCTTAGCATATCATAGCTTAGCATAGCAGAACATAGCTTAGCATATCACAGCGCAGCATGACATATCATAGCTTAGCATATCATATCATAGCACAGCATAGCATAGCGGAGCATAGCATAGCATAGCATAGCGCAGCATAGCATGGCATAGCATAGCATAGCATAGCATAGCAACTAATGCTGCTTTCCTAGGGGCTCCAACTTCTAGGTAGGGTCGCACTGGGGTAATTGTATTATCACTGCTCCTTCCCCTAATTTCCCTCGTTGCACACCCTCATATCACTCCTCCTCCTACTCCTCCTCCCTTTCCTCTTTTTCCTCTTTGTCCTCTTTTTCCTCCTCCTCCTCCTCCTCCTCCTTCTCCTCCTTCTCCTCCCCTCCAACTCTTCCCACCTCCCACGCTCACGGCAGCGCGCGTGGGGAGAGGGGGAGGGAGGCGGTGAGAGGAGGAGGAGGAGGAGGAGGAGGAGGAAGAGAAGCAGGAGGAGGAAGAGGGAGAGGAGGACGAAAGAGGGGAGAAAGATTGGGGAGGGGAGAAAGAGGGTGGAGGAGGACGAGAGGCGATGGAGGGTCGGAGGGGGGTTGGAGGGACCAGGAGGATGAGGAGGAGGGGGACGATGCGGCTGAGGAGGGGCGGGGGGAGGGGGGGGTGAGGATGCGGAGGAAGAGAACGAGGACGAGGATAAGGGGGAAGGAAGGCCGAGAGGAGAGGGGATGGGCAAGGTAGGTGCGCCTGCGCCAGATCTGACATCCTACCCCTCCTACCCCTCCTGCCCATTCATTCCCATTGTGCTGATGTTTCTGTAGCCGCCGACGACTGCCATAGCGGATCTGACACCAGGACCCCATCGCGATATGCGCAGTCAGGAAAGGGGAGTTGTGTACACTGGGGGGGGGAGACGGAGGGGGATGAGGCGGATGCGAATGAACAAGAGGATGGGCAGGAGGAATACAATTAAGACGAGGGGGGAGGAGCGATAATAAACATCAGCATCATAAGCAGGAGAAGGCGGAGCGGGAGGAGCGGGGAGGACCAGTGGAAGGCGGCAGAGGGAAACAGCGACAACGATGAGGAATGACTCAGATCCATGATTTCGGCGCGCGCTTGGGCGAGAGCGCAATTTTGAACGACGGGAACAAAGCGTCGATCCCAAACCGAAACCACCGTGACAGCGGGAACGTCATGTAAAAGCATTGGAGACGCTCCGATGGGAACCAACACATAGAACAGCACGTGTCGAACACCTGTGCGCTGGGACACGTATTGCGGGATAAGACGAGCCACGCTCGAACAGGATCTGGGGAGATAGGAGAGTTTGACTCATGCCGTAGAAGAGGGGATGAGGAGGAAGAGGAGGAGGAGGAGGACGAGGACGAGGACGAGGAAGGAGGAGGGAGGAGGGAGGAGAGAGGAGGAGAAGGAGGTGGAGGGAGGAGGAGGGAGGACGGAGGAAGGAAGAGGGAGGAGGCGGAAGGGAGGAGGGAGGATGGAGGAGGGATGATGGAGGAGGGATGAGGGAGGATGGAGGAAGGAGGGAGGGAGGGAGGAGGAGGAGGAGCAGGACGGAGAAGGAGGAGGTGGAGGAGGAGGATGAGGAGGGAGGAGCGCACGGACGGACGAGGGGGATGTTGGTGTCGCTGACGATGGCGGTAATGGCGACGATGATGTCGATGATGTCGAGGACGACGGTGATGATGATGATGATGATGATGATGATGATGATGATGATGCTGATGATGACGATGATGATGTTGATGATGATGTTGATGATGATCTTGATTGATGCTGCAGCTGATGCTGCTGATGATGCTGATGATGGGGATGCTGGTGCTGATGATGATGCTGATGGTGACGGACATGCTGATACCGATGACGAAGATGATGAGGGGGGTGGTGATGCTGATTATGATGATGAGGATGCTGACAGGGATGAGCCTGATGATGGTGATGGTGGTGATGTTGATGATGATGATGATGATGATGCTGATGCTGATGATGACGACGATGATGATGCTGATGGTGGTCATGATGATGGTGGTGGGGACGATGATGGTGATGCTCATTTTGATGCTGATGATGGTGATGCTAATGGTATTATTGATGAAGAGGATGATGGTAATGGTAATGCTGCGGATGATGATGGTGACGACACTGAGAATGGTGATGATGATGCTACTGCTGCTGATGATACTGCCGCCGTTTATGATGATTATGATGATGATGGTGATGGAGATGGTGATGATGATGTTGATGATGATGGCAGTGGTGATGATGATTGTGATGGTGATGGTGATGATGATGGTGATGATACCAATGAGGACGACGATGATGAGGCTGATGCTGATGATTATCATGATGGTGATGATGATAATGCTGATTATGTTGATGATGACGATGCTTGTAATGGTGAGCAGGATGATGATGATGAAGGCGAACTGGTGATGATTATGATGATGAGGAGGATGGTGATGATGATGAATCTGATGCTGATGATGCTGATGATTTGATGATGATGATGATGATGATGATTGTGATAATGATATGATGATATGATGATGATATGATGATGATGACGATGATGATGATGCTGCTGCTGCTGATGATGATGATGATGATGATGATGTTGATGATGATGATGACGATGATGATGAGAAGGAGGAGGAGGAGGAAGGACATTGACAAGCTGGATGAGCCGGATCAGGAGTATCAGAGTAAGCCCAGGACGCACCACCAGTTCGGCAAGATGCTCCCCCGTCCCCAGGTCCCTCTCTCACAAGCGAATGCACACATGCTGTACGGCGAGCGCCCGCTGGAAAGGTGAGGCCATAGGGGCCTGGCGCAGGCTCAGGACTAGGGAACGCGTAAGCGACGATCCATACGAGTGCCAGAGGGCTCGACTTTACGAAGTACACGGTCAGGAACGTTTGGTTCGCTTGTCGCTCCGCCAGTTCTGGCCCACGGCGCTTTGGCGCGACACGCTATCCACTTCCGTGTCCCCAGGCGTCCACGTCCCGAGCCTTTCCCAGTCTCCCGCCCCGAGGGGCGGAGCGACATGCTATTCGCTCGCAAGGCAAAGCGTGTCTCTGGGGCCGCCGTCGCGACACGCCATCCAAAAGTTCCTGACCATACGCCGATCCATCCGTCGAAATGGGCGCAGTGCCCCAGGTGAGAGCACGATTTTGAACCAACGGGCAGCCTGCATCCGCGCGACACGGTTTGGATCGTCCTTCATTTTACAGGTTCAGGACTGTTGTCTAGAAAGCCTCAGGGAGCATGAGACGAGAGCACGATTTTGAAAATAATCCGTCTTACATCCCTGTAGCCGTTGGACACGTCAAGCTTCACAGTCACAAAAAGAAAAGACGCCCCAGGCGAAGTCACGATTTCGAACACGACCCGGCATACACGCATCGTTTGGACAGGTCTCGAGGTTAATTCAGGAAGTGTTAGGAGGCATCATGCGAAAAGCCCAGGCCGCCCTACCGATTTGTAGTGGTGCGACTGGATGTCACTGATAAGGAAGAGAAGTGAAGGAGCAGGAGAAGGAATACGTTGACGGTTAGGAGGAGGATTCTGGCTGTCACAGGACGGCAGAGGAGCGCCACGCATGCGGGATTTCGATGACCTGCGGATGTTACGGCGTGGCCGCAGTATCGTTCGGACTGATCGGGCTGCTGTATCCCAGCCCAAGCGTCGAGGCCGATCCGATCTACGGATATTCGGACTTCGTCCAGTTCGCGGCCGCCCATGGCGTGGGCTTCTTTCTGTGGAACATATTGGCGGAGAATTCGCGCGCTTGGGGTGGTTGGGACAAGTTCGCGCATCACGCTCTGTGCATCGTTGCGCACCTCGTGAGCCAGCACCCATTCTCGCCGAAGTGCCTGTGCATGCTGATGCTCTTCGAGTTCAGCACGCCCCCGCTGTGCGCGTTCAACGTTCTGCGATGGCTTGGCTTGGAGGACACGCAGGCTTGCTTGGGATCCCGTCCTCCCCTTCCTCCTCAACCTCCTGCTCCTGCTGCTGCTGCTGCTCTTCCACCTCGTCGTCGTCGACGTCGTCGTCGTCCTCCGCCTCCTCCTTTAGAAGGCCTATCGGAACTGCCGCGTCGCATTCGCTGTGTTGTTCTTCGTGTTCCGAATAGCCTTCGGGATCCCAATGACCGCTGCTTGGTACGCCGACATGTATACGCTAGCTGCGGACCCGCTACGGGAGGTGCACTCGATGGCTGTGTTCAATATTATGCTAATCGTACCGATTCCCTTCATGTGTTTGCAACTGTGGTGGTTCCGGCTCATCGCCAGGGCTGTGTTGAAGAAGGGCAAGAAGCAGGTCAAGTAATTTACGCGCTAGGCTGGTCGCTGTCGAACGTCAGAATTTCAATTGATTGTTTGGCCGGCTTGTACTAAGAGACCGTCTTCACAAATGTTATGCCTCTCAAGAGACTGTGTGCTCATTGTGGCCATGAGCTTTTCGAACGAATGATGCACGCTCTGGCAGTGGCGTGAGCCTGGGGCCTCGAGCGGTGCCTCTCTTTTTTCTTCATGTTGCACCTCCTCCTCCTCCTCCTCCCTCCTCCGCCTCACGTCAGCCTCTTCCTCCCTCGCCTCCCTTGCCGCTCCGCCCGCCTCCGTCATCGTTCCTCCTCCATCGTCGCTGCTGTCCTCCCTCCCTACTTATTCTTCCTCCTCCCACCTTCCTCCTCCCTCTCTCCTTCTTCTTCCTCCTCCCTACTTCCTTTTTCCTTCGCCTCCCTCCTCCGTCCTCATCCTCCCTTTACCCATCCCCGAGTCCTTCCCCCCTCCTCCCTCTCTCCCTCCGCCCCTCTCTCAATCCCCTCGTCCTCCTCCTGCTCCTCCTCCTCCTCGGCCTCCTCCTCCTCCTCCTCCTCATCATCATCATCATCATCATCGTCAACCTCATTAGCATTAGCATTAGCATTAACCTCATCATCCTCATCAGCATCATCAGCATCACCATCACCATCACCATCCTCACCATCATATGTTCACTCGCGCTCATCATTATCATCACCATCAGCAGCAGCACCATCATCATGATCCTAATCGGCATCCTCATCGTCATAATCGTCATCAACAGCAGCGACATCATCGTCGCTTCCATCATCATCATCATCATCATCATCATCATCATCATCATCATCATCATCATCATCATCATCATCATCATCATCATCATCATCATCAGCAGCAGCAGCAGCATCAGCATCAGCATCAGCATCAGCATCAGCATCACCAGCATCATCGTCATCATCATCATCATCATCATCATCGTCAGCGTCATCATCGTCAACATCGTCATCATCAGCATCAGCATCAGCATCAGCAGCATCAGCATCATCATCAGCAACAGCAACAACATCATCACCAGTTTCATATCATTATCACCCCCCTGCCCTCCTCCCTTCAGCCTCCTCTCCTCCTACCTCCTTTCTCCTCCCCTGTCCCTCCACCTTCCTCTTTCATCGTCCCTCGTACTTCGCTCTTCCTCCATCCTCCCTCATCTTATCGCCCTTTCTCCTGCGTGCAGTATTGTCCTGTTCCCATATCCTTTCTCTCCTTTCTCTTTTCTTCTTCCTGATAACCATCTGCTCGCACGATTGCTCTCCCTTTCGGATCTTCCATGTGGAGCGAGTGTGCTAGGATCCGCTCGCTCCCAGGTTCGACTCCGACTCGATCCTTCGTCAGGATCCTTCCCAAGAGGAGAGAGGTAGAAACCATCTCTCCGAAGCCAGGTTCCCGAGCTAGAGGAGGTGGCGGACTGATGAGAAGGCGAGGGACGGAGGACGGAGGAGGCGGAGGCCGCGGACTGGTGAGAAGGCGGGGGACGGAGGACGGAGGAGGCGGAGGCCGGAGGTCGGAGGAGAGATGAGGGGGAGGATGAGGAAGAGGGATTGATGATGATGATGATGATGATGATGATGATGATGATGATGGTGATGGTGATGGTGATGGTGATGGTGATGATGATGTTGATGCTGATGCTGATGATGATGATGCTGATGCTGATGCTGATGATGATGATGATGATGATGATGATGATGATGATGATGGTGGCGATGCTGATGACGATGTAATCATGATGATGATGCTACCTATCGGTCGTTGAAAGTAGGTATTGCTGGATTCCCAGATTCCAATGTACTTTAAGCGCCTTCCTACTTCATGAGTCGAGTGGTTGTCCCTCTTCCCACCTCTTCAGGAGGCGGGCGGACACCCAATCCACTTCCGACGCCATCTTACTTCATGTTTCTACCTACTTCGTCCGACCGATGGGTAATGATGCTGATGCTGATGATGATGAAGATTTTGGTAATGCGGATGCTGATAAAGGTTGTGGTATGATGATGATGCTCATGATGGTGATGCTGATGCTGATGCTGATGCTGATGCTTGCGATGATGCTATTGTTGATGCTGATTATGATGATGATGCTGATACTGATGATGATGCGGATTATGATGATGATGATGGTGGTGATGGTGGTGATGGTGGTGGTGATCATGATGATGATACTGATGATGTAGATGATGATGATGAGGATGATGATGATGGTACTGATGATGATGATGATGATGATGGTGGTACTGATGATGATGATCATGATGATGATGATGATGATGATGATGATGATGATGATGATGATGATGATGATGATGATGATGATGATGATGATGATGATGATGATGATGATGATGATGATGATGATGATGATGATGATGATGATGATGATGATGATGATGATGATGATGATGATGATGATGATGATGATGATGATGATGATGATGATGATGATGATGATGATGATGATGATGATGATGATGATGATGATGATGATGATGATGATGATGATGATGATGATGATGATGATGATGATGATGATGATGATGCTGCTGCTGATGATGATGATGATGATGATGATGATGCTGCTGATGATGATGATGGTGATGGTGATCATGAGGAGGCGAAGGAGGTGGAGGAGGAGAGTGTTTGCAGACAGACATGCCAGTACACGCGCAGGTACACGCAGGCGGAAGAGGCAGGAGTAGGAGGTCGAGGATGAGGAGGATGAGGAGGAACAAGCATCAGATGCAAGAGGCGGAGGAGGACACTTGAGGAGTGGGCGAGCAGGGAGAGGAGGGACGTGTAGGAGACGGGTGTGGGGGACGAGGAGGATGCGGATGAGGTTCCCGTCCTCTCTCTTTCTCGTTACTGCCACTCCTTGCGCTCTCTATCATTATCCATTTCATGCTCATACCTCCGTCTCCTCCAGTTTGCTTTTGCGCGCTCGGGGGCCGCATTGGGCCTGGAGTGGGCCGCCGTTTCTCAGACTTACTCCGAGGGGGCCGGCCAGTCAGGGGCTTCAACAACTTTACATGGGCCGATGCAGTTTGATGATGATATATGATGATGTGCAGATGCTTGCGGAGACCCCCGCCACAGCGCCAGCACAGCAGCTCAGCAGGAGTGATGTTGAGCTCGATGCCCCTTCCAGTCCAGCGCCCTGTCCGAACTGGCGCAGCCTCGTTCTCGCCCTCTTACTTCGCAGTTGCAGCGCATTGGCTGCCGCAGCTTTGCCGAGGAGGCCCCGCGGCCCCGCGCCTATAAGAATACGGAGGCGCGATATGGTCATAATGGTGACAAAGATGAGGAAGGAGGAGCAGGAAGAGGAGGAGGAGGAGGAGGAGGAGGAGGAGGAGGAGGAGGAGGGTGGCAGCATCGTCGGAGGGTTCAGGTGTCATCAGAGCTAGCGCTAGGAGAGCTTGGCGACGACGACGACGACGAGGAAGATGGGGGAGGAGGCGAAGGAGACAGAGGAGGAGGAGGAGGAGGAGGAGGAGGAGGAGGAGGCTGAGGACTATGAGAAGGAGGGGACTAAGGAAGAGGAGGAGGAGGAGGAGGACGAGGAGGAGGAGGACGAGGAGGAGGAGGACGAGGAGGAGGAGGAGGACGAGGAGGAGGATATAATAATGGCACATGATGGTGAGCAGGAGAAAGAGGACGGAGGATGTGAAGGAGCAGTAGCAGGACGAGCAGGAGGTGGCGGAGGAGGAGGAGGAGGAGGAGCTCATCATCCACATCTTGCTCCACATGTCTGAGCTGTTTTGCGCTGAACCCTCGAGTGGGTGCGCGGACTCCTCCAGACATTCCGCCGACTCGCTGTGCTCTCCCATGGAGGCCTCCCACCTAGATCACGAGCCGAGCAGGGTCGAAGGGTAACGCCGACATGGATGAACTTTTTAAGTTTTTTGAAAAGCGACGGCTGCATGCAAAGCCATCGTGCGCAAATCATATCTGCAAGTCCAACACCGAAGCCAGCCAGCTGGTCTCGAGATGGCGACGTTAGCATGAGCCCCCTTGGGTGGCGGTGCTCTCGCGGCGCAAAAGGCAAAGGAGGTATCACTGAAAGGAAGGACAGGGAGAAGGAAGGGCGGAGAGGGCAGCGGAAGAGGGACACACCACACCCCGATGTCGAGGCCCAAGATTCGAATTCTGGCGTCTGCACGTCTGGGGTCTTACACTCGAGGTTGGGAAGGTTCGAATTACGGAATGAGGGGGTTCCCAGGCGCAGGGGTTATGGTCAAAAGCCAGCCGAGAATTGGTGGCTCTAGTTTCGGGTTGGACACTCTTCCAGATTCATGATTCCGTTTTCCGGATCCGAGCGGGGGGTCTGTTTTTCGAAGTGTTTGGTTGTTCCAGTTTTCGAATTGCGAGTTTCGGATTTACTTTTTTTCGTGGCTGGAGGGGCCGCGTTGGGTGTTCTGGCTGTGTTGTTAAGAACTCGGAGATCTGTGCATTTTGATTACTTGTGTGATTCAGGGTTTGCTCGGAGGGTTCGGGCATGTTCGGGCCATGTTGTTATCTACTTATCTTCCTCATCCTCACTATGACCACTGTCGCCTATGATGTGTGTTACTTTCCTTGTGTTGCTATGTCCTGGTTTGCTGTGAAGTATGACATGTGCCTGATATGTTAGGCGTTGCCTTCGTACGCTGTGTGTTGCTTTGCCTTGACGTGTTCTGTTGTGCCAGTGTTGCGTTCGAGTGTTGCGCGTTTCCAGTATTGTCTCTGATTTGGCGTCATTCCCCTTTGCATCGATTTGAATGTTTGGGCCCGGACGTAAATGGCTTTGTTATTTGTCGGCCTGCGTTTGTTCATTTTCTTGTGTCTCGTTTTGCTATCAACATGTGGTGAAGATGTGGTGATGTTCGTACGTTTTGCTTGGCTGCGTTGTATCGGCTACGGCTCCTCGGGCTGGTGGGTTTCGGTGGTGGTCCCATCAAGTCTCCAGGTTGATCATTTCAACCTGTGGGCAAAAGTGTCGGAGAATTGGACCGATTGCGGAGGGTAGGGGGTCATATCCAGTTGCCCGCGGCAAGGCTGGCCTCCGTGCCAGCCCAGATTCTGGCTGACGGCCGTTCGAGGGGGCACGTCAGGCTTTCGCGTGTGACATGTCAGGTCCCCAGGCTAGGGAAAGCAGTGATGAGGATGATGAGGCTGGGGGTGGAGGGGAAGAGGAAGAGGGGAAGAGGAGGGGAAGGAGGAGAGGGAGGAGGAGGAGGAGGAGGGGGAGGAGGATGGGAAGAGGAGGGGAAGAGGAAGGGGATGAGGAGGAGGGGGAGGAGGAGGGGAAGAGGAAGGCCGTCACATGTGTCACCTGTCGTCTTCACCCTTTGAGGAGCTCTCGTGGAGCTCCTCAGGGCCGTCGTGGGGCTGTCTGAGCCTCCTGTGGGGCAGTCTTGGGGGTACCACCCTGGGGCCGTCCTGGAGCCCTCTGAGGCCGTGTTGGGGCTCTCTTGGGCCAGCTGGGGCCCTCGTGGTCGTGTGAGAGAGCCGTTGTGGGGCCGTCTTGGCGCCGTCTTGTGCCGCAGAAGGACTCTCTGGGGCCGTATGACAGTATGGGGTTCCTCCAGAGGCTCTCTTGGGCTAAATCTTGGGGCCGTCTTGGATGCCTCTTGGGCCATCGCGGGGTCCTCCCATGCCATCTTGAGACCCTCTTGGGGGCCTCTTGGGCCGTCTTGGGGTCACTTCGGAGGCGTCTTGGGCCGTCTTGATCTGACGGCAACCCGAAACGGCGAGAAGGTGCACATGTTTCAAACATCTAAATGCAGTTCGCGATTCTGATGCCTTCGGGCCATGCTGGGTGTCCTCTTGTGGCCCTCTTGGATCCTCCTGGAGGTATCCTGGGCCGTCTTGAGGCCGTTTTGGGTCGCCTTGGGGTCGTCGAGACATCTTGGGCCGTCTTGGCGACCTTCGTTCCCTACCTGGGCCGTCTTGGAAGCTCGGGACCTCGGGACGCGGATCGGTGATTTTTTACGCGACGAGAGGGGGAGAGGCCACTAAGAAGAACCCATAAACCCTACCACGCCTCAACATGCCAAGGGGCGTTGGTGCGGATTTGATCGCAGTACGGAGGGATGGAAGGAATGAGGGGAGGGAGGGAGGAGAGGGGAGAACAAGAGAAAACAAGAGAAGAAGCGGTCGAAGGAGTGCAGAGGGAGGAAGAGAGGAATGAGACGGAAGAGCAGGATGTACAGGATAATGATAATGAGGAGGAGGAGGAGGAAGAGGGCCATGAGTAGGAGTAGGAGGAGCAGGAGGCGGAGGAGGAAAACAGGATAAGGGTGACCGAAGAGGAGGAGGAAGAGGAGGAGGAGGAGGAGGAATCTGAGGAGGGCGAGTGACCTGGAAGGACACTGGCGGAGAAGGAGGAGTACGGTGATGCGGGTGCGGGTAATTATGAGGGTGGCGATGGTGGTGGTGGTGATGATGATGATGAGGAGGAGGAGGATGAGGATGACTCTGGTGATGGTGATAATGGTGATGGTGATGGTGATAGTGTTGATGATCGTGATGGTGATGGTGATAGTGTTGATGATCCAGATGGTGATGGTGATAATGATGGTGATGATGATGATGATGCTGATGATGGTGGTGATGGTGATGGTGATGATGACGATGATGATGATGGTGACGATGATGATGGTCATTATCATCATAAGGATGATGATGCGGAGGATGAGGAGGAGGAGGATTCACCTGGAAGGACGTTGGCGGAGAAGGAGGAATACGATGATGCGGATACGGATGATACTAAGGGTGACGATAGTGGTGGTGATGATGAGAAGGAGGATGCGGATGATATTGGTGGTGGTGATGATGGTGATGGTAACAGTGATGTTGATGGTGATGATGCTGATCATCATGATGATGCCGAGGAGGAGGAGGAGGAGCAGGAGGAAGATGCGGACGAGGAGGGATCACGATCATGAGGAGGAGGGGGGCGAGGGATGCTGATGATGCTGATGATGCTGATGATGCTGATGATGATGGTGGTGATGCTGATTATGATGATGATGATGATGATGATGATGATGATGCTGATGATGATGATGCTGACGACGACAACGACGATGGTGATTCTGATGATGCTGATGATGATGAGGATGAGGATGACGATACTGATGATGACGATGCTGCTGATGACGACGACGATAGCGGTGCTGATGAGGATGCTGATGCTGATGCAGATGCTGGCGATATTGATGTTGATGTCGGTGATGGTGATGGTAAAGATGTTGTTGATGGTGATGATGATGCTGGTGGCGACGACGACGATACATATGATGCAGATGGTGATTATGATTATGTTTATGACGACGATGCTGATGATCATGGTGATGATGACGACTAGGATGATCATGGTGGTGGTGGGGTGGTTGTTGTTGTGATGATGATGATGTTGATGATCTTGATGATGCTGATGATGACGATGATGATGATGACGACAATCATGATGTTGGTGATGATGATGCTGATGCTGATGCTGATGCTCATGATGATGCTGCTGACGATGAGGATGAGGATGAGGATGCTGATGATGATGATGATGATGATGATGATGATGATGATGATGATGATGATGATGGTGGTGGTGGTGGTGGTGGTGATGATGATGATGATGAGGATGGATGGTGGACTTTGGGTGATGGGAGGAGGAGGACGACGACGAGGAGGAGGAGGAGGAGAGAGACGGGATTGGGAGGAGTGAGCACGGATGAGAGGAGCAGCAACACACTTTCTCTGAGCTCTCTGGGCCACGGAGGGGGGAGGGCTGCTCCGCCTTGACGGCGGCCCACGCGCCGCCGCCTGGCAGACGGCTTCATCCGGGCAGCCGCGCCAGCAGCTGGACGACGTGCATTGCTGGGGGACGGGGGGAGGGCAGCTCCTGGGGAGAGACTCCGCACCGCTGGGGGCGAGCTACCGCAACGGCGCTACAGTCAACGCACATAGTAAGGACGCGCGCCTTTCTAGGGTACCCTTGTGTCCTTGCCTCTGCCGCCCGTCCTTTGCCGTTTCCACTGGCCAGCCTCTTAGGGTACCCTTGTGGTTCGGTCGCCCGCCGCCCCAAAAGTCCCACCTCTGGCCTCCAAGGGTCCTGCGTCCTTACCACCCGTCCCTTCTACACGTTTTCACTGTATTGCGAGAGTTCCATTCTGAAAGCGACCCTCTCCATCCTTGTTGCTGCTGCAAGCTTCTGAAGCGAATGTGCGTGGCGCCAAGGCGATCTCCCAATTCAAAAACGATCCCCCTTCATCCATGCTTGTAGCTGCCGGAAAAGTTGTCAGAGGACTCTGCGCGGCTCTAGGGCGTGGGTTCCATTTTGAAAACGAACACCTCCATCCTGTTACAAGCTTTTGATGCGAATGCGCGCGGCACTAAGGCGAGAGCCACGTTTTGAACATCGTCCCCTCCATCCTTGAAATGTTGGGACATTTAACTTCAGGATCAGATCGTGTGCGGAAGTCTCAAGTGAAACGCCTGGCTTACCCTACCGACACGTCTGGTAGTCAGACGAGGAGGAGTTAGGAGGACCATGAAACGTAGTCCGTAGTCACGAGGAGGACGAGGAGGAATTCGAAGAGAAGGAGGTGAACGAGGAGCATGACGAGGAGGAGAGCGAGGGAAACGCGTAGAAGAACCAGGACCAGAAAGAGGATGATGATGATGCTGATGATGGTGGTGATGATGCTGATGCTGATGCTGATGATGATGTTGATTATAATTATGCTGATGATGGTGATGATGACGATGCTGATGATGCTGCTGTTGATGGTGATAATGCTGATGATGATGATGATGATGGTGATAGTGATGGTGATGATGATGACGCTTATGCTGATGCTGATGCTGCTGATGATGATGGTGATGATGATGGCTGTGATGATGATGACGATGATGATGATGATGATGATGATGATGATGATGATGATAATGATGATGATGATGATGGTGGTGGTGATGGTGATGGTGAAGGTGATGGTGATGGTTGTAAGGATGGTGATGGTCATGATGATTCTGATGGTGATGATGATGCTGCTGCTGATGATGATGATGATGATGATGATGATGATATTGGTGTTGATGGTGGTGGATCTGATGATGATGATGATGATGATGATGATGATGATGATGATGATGATGATGATGATAATGATGATGAGGATGAGGATGAAGATGAGGATGAGGATGAGGATGAGCAGGAGGAGTAGGAGGAGGAGGATGAGGATGAGGAGGAGGACAACAAGGACGAGGAGAATGAGTAGGAGGATGGGGATAAGGAGGAGGGCGATGAGGAGAGCAGGGAGCAGGACGAGAACGCGGACGAGGACGAGGACGAGGACGAGAGGACGAGGACGAGAGGACGAGAGGACGAGAGGACGAGGACCCGGAGGAGGCGGACGAGGACGATGGCACAGCCACGCGGCTCGGCCAGCAGGTCCTGCCGCTCCTGCTCGCGGCCTGCCCCGGACTGCGGCCCGCCCTCCCGCCCGCCCGCCGCGCGCGCGCCGCCTCGCACTTCCCGCGCTGAGGCCCCGAGGCCCCCCGCCGAGGTCTCCGTCAAAGTCAAAGGGAAGACGAGGAGGAGGAGGAGGAAGAGGAGGAGGAAGGCCACGGGCTCGCGCGGCCGCAGGAGGGGGGGCTGTTCTCTCGCACTCCACACCACACGTCCGCCCTCTTGCCTGTAGCCTGCGGTGCAGCCCGTTTTCTGACGGGTGCCGCAGCACCCCGCGTTCAGCCGCCATCCCCAGCGAGGCGGCCCATCGCAGGGCGCGAGCCCAGCGTGCCTGGTCGCGCGTTTTTTTTTGGGGGGTGTAGACCAGGCGACAGAGAGGCTCGCTGATCATCACGCCTCGCCAAGACGCACCCGTTCCCCAGTTTACCCGCCCTGGTCTGTGTCTGGTGGCGGCAAGGGACGAGGTGGACGTTCGCGAGGTAAGGGTGAGACCAAGGGCGAAGGCAAGGCGGCGACGAAGTCAGGCAAGAAGGGCCAGTCCCCTGGCCAGACCTCAGCGCCAACCTCTCATTCCTGGACTTGCTCGACGTGTTCGGCGCCAGCTTCGCTGAACCACAGCTGGTGCTGGCAGTGTGGCAGTCACTATTCGAAGGAGAAGAGCGAGGCTGCAGCACCTACTGGCTCGAAGCAGGGCCACCTCATCGACAGTTGTTCAGAACTCGTTAAACATACCCAACCAGAGGGAGGACTTGGAGTCGAACGCCAAGGCCAAGGAGGCTGTGTTGGCATTGCTGTGTGAATTCCGTGGCAAGCGCGATCATCACAAGTCTACCACCCAGTTGGCGCAGCATTCTTTCCACAAGGTGCAGCGGCAGCAGACGGTGGTTTCCCAGACTCAGAACCACATCCATGAGCAGCAGTCCATATTCAAAGAGGACCTCCTGACGCATGAGCGCGCACAGCAGAAGATCAGCAAGTTGGAGAACACATTGCAGGAGGCAGAGCAGACCCTCCGCGGGTGCACCAAACAGCACCAGGATATCGCCAACCTGAATATTGAGCCCCCTGATGCGGTGCCTGGCCCCCTCCAGCTGATCAAGATCCGCGCCTCTCTTGACAGCATAGGCGCGGCCGAGAGTCCTGCACTCGGCCTTGCTTTTGCTGCGTTCACGAATCCTGCCGGCTCTCATCAGGCAGCACAGAGTGGCTCGCAGAGCCAATCGCCTCAGCCTCTCATAGGAGGCCCAGTAGTTGCGGCAGGGGCGGGTGCTGGGGCTGCCCCCTCGGGGCACGGGCAGGCCTCCGGTGGACCAGTGGTTGCGCCAGCTGGCGACGACCTTGAATCAGCTCACGGCCCCGCCGCTGCCTCTCTCCAACCCCCTCAGGGTCACCCGCAGGAGCGACGCCAGCTCCTGAGGCACCTGCGGTGGTTGAGCCACCCGACGGTGCGGCGAAGGTTGGCATCAGGGGCCGTAGATTGCAGGACGACGTCACGAATCGTTATCGCTCTCCCGCGGGCTTTCTTCGCGCGGGCCAGCGCCCAGCAGGCGAGCCTGCAGATGTTGAGAGCTTGGCCGCCGCCCACGGTGCCCCCTCCGTTGAGCAGCGGGGACGCGCCGAGGATGGGCGACGGCGGCCCTGCTCCACTCACTTTGTTTCCCCGGGAGCCCCAGGAAGGCTTGAGGGAGACGCCTGGCACTGTCTTCCTCTTTTGCGCACTTCGTGGCTCGTGCTTCCAGTCAGGAATCAAGGCTCTACAGAACCTCGGAACAAGGTATCAGGTTGCATTCTTGCACGGAACCCAAGCTTTGGGTCAGCAGCTGCTGGATGCCAAGCACTCTCTCTACAACTCTGGTTGGGTTTCGTTCTGGGTACCATGTGCGCATCGTGAATCGTTGGGGCAGAGCTCGGCGGGCGTCGCTGTTCTGGTCAGAAGGCGTTTTGATTTTTGGAGAGATGAGCTGGAGGTACCGACAGAGTTTAGGCCGTGAGTGGCCGCATGTTTTGTGGCCAATCTGCTGTCTATCCACTTCGTTGATTAGGTCGGTCTAGGAGCTGCCGACGTTCGGTTGGCGAAATGGATCGGGACTCGCGCGGCTTCCCACGGTTTCCCGTTTGTTGCCGGTGGTGATTTCAACGTGGCGCCCGAGCTCTCATCAGTCGGTCTCCCTCCACAGAAGTACGGAAGAGCAGCTCTGCAAGCTGAAGGGGTACCTACCTGCGTAAGCAGGCCCACTAGCTCGATCTTGGAATATTTTGTCGTGGGGCAGATGTTCCTGCGATGCAGCCCCAAAATGTGGGTCGCGTTGGCTTCGGAAAGCTCGCCGCGCCGACCAGTCATCCTCAGCGTGATATTCGATGCCTCTCAGGCTCGGGTGAGGAAGCTTGTGCCTTTTGCAAGGATTCCGTTGGAGCTCCCAGTGGGCCTACCTCCCGAACCCCCATCATACGGGGGGATCATTGACAGACTCCAGAAGGCTCTGGAGGCGAATGCACATCCCAGCGGGGTCGGTTTTTTGTCTCCCACCACTCGATCCGAGCACGATGCCCTGCGGGCGCAGCTCGACGAGGGCTACCGCAGCTGGATCGGGCACTGGGTCCTTGAGTTGATGGACATCCACCAGTGCGACGGAGTGGACTTGCCGTCTGTCTGCGCAGCGTGGAGCTTACCGTTTCCAGCAGGTGAAGGTCAGCGCCCCCTTCCCCACCGAGGCCACCAAGAGGGCCAGCCCCTCTCGTGCTCTCCCTTGGGCCTCCAACAGGATGCGGGAACTACTGCGCCTTCCTCTGCGACGTCCCGATGCGACCAGGTCGCAGCATGTCGCGAAACTGCTGGGCCACGCGATCGAGCTCGTCGGGAAAGGAATCCCGTTCAGAGGCCACTGGGAAGAAGGTGGACCTCTTTGGCATGTTCATGTATCGCTTCTGGCCAACCGCCTTAAACTGCATCCTGGAGTTCTCTGGCACGGGGCCTCTGCGGAGCTCGGCGAGTGGGCCGATCGTGCTGGGCGCCACCATCTGGGGCAACTTCCACGGGGCAGGGCTGCTCAGACGGCCTCTGGGGGCGAATGGTGCGAGGGGGCTCTGGAGGGCGGGGCCAAATGGGCTCGCGCGCATTCCGAGCTTGCCAAGGATCATGCCTTTCGCTATGTCTACGCCGCCGCTGGGCCGATGCATCGCCTCAGGCGCGACTCGCGTAGCAAGAATCTCCTTCGCGCGGAGCGTGGGGCGCTCGGGGGGCGCCGAGATCCCCTTTTCAGCCGCGGGGCATCGTTGCCATTCCAGCTGCGCCCTCTGCTGATCGACTTCGCGACTTGTCCAAATAGTTCAAGGTCCGAACCATTGCGGCTGAAGGCGCGCGCCCGCGACATTATTCCCAGCTTTCGGAGCAGGTCTGGGAAGGCCCCAGTTCGCGATGTGAGTTTATGCTTGTCTTGGGGGGTGCGCCGACTCGGCCACGCACGCTTCGGGTTCAGTTGTTCGCCATGCCGTCGGGGGGCCAGGGGCCGATCGGATTCTTCCGGAGCTTTCAGAGGCTACGCAGCAAGGCCTTGAGTGCGCGCGCAGCTGCTTGGGGGATCTATATTTCGACCGCTACTTCTACATGGCCCCGAATCGGCATGCAACTGGCGGAGTCTGGCGCGCGCGGGTGGAAGCTTGTCTGGCGGGCCGCGGCGGTTGGGCCGCCCTCGCTGCGTGGGGGGGGGGGGGGCAGCGCTGCGAGCGCGTCGAACCCGATCTCATGAGGAGAGAGGTGGTTGTGATTGACTATCTTCTTTTCGTGCTTAGAGCTGCGCTCAACAGTATCGTTGGCTCAGACTCCTGGCCCCTAGATGGCGCCGCATCAGAAGTTGTTTTTCCTGGCAGAGGCCTTGCGGCAGGAAGCTCGTCTACCATTTGCGAGGCGAAATGCCTGGTGATCCCTGGCGTCCAGGAGGCTGCGCCGCAGCCGGGGGGCCACGGCCTGGGCATTGTTGTGGGCGACGCGGCCTTGCATATCATTGTTGATTGCCGGGGCAGGTGCATGCGTTCATGTGTCGCGGCCTTCCCCAGGATCATCTCGCTCTTTCACGATCGGCCCCAGCTTAACTTCTCCGCGGGCAAGTTGTGCGCCGCGGCCAACTCCCCAGAGTTGCTTAAGAAGGCTCGGGAGGCTCTCGGAAGATGGTCTGGCTCGGCTGAGCCCGCCATCAAATCACTCGGAGTTGATTATTCCTCTGGCACGAGGTCTCAGATGGCCATTGGCGCTCGACGGTTTCGCATAGGCTACCCTGGGAAGGCTCCCCGAGATCAAGGCCGCGCAGTCTTCCAGTGCTGTCGAGAAGGCCGAGCTGTGCCATTGCGGGGCCCCCCCGCCCGTCCGCCCAGCGCGGCCAGGATGTCCCGTGCAACCGTCCTCGGGAACTTGCGCGTCTCCGGTCCGAGGGTGCCAGAGCCTTGGGTCTCGCCGGCGCCGGTAGCAATCCCGGTCTCTGCTTTGAGGCAAGCCTCGGCACCGCTGGACAGGCTGGCCTGGGAGTGGCGGTCCGCTGCTGGGCCCAATCTGAGAACTTTCGATGGCCTGAGCCCTGGCGCCCTCAGTCGGGCCACCATGGCCACCCTGCAGGATCAGCAGGAACTGAAGTCCGCCAGCTGGTCCAGAAAGTCGCAGGGCCCGCTGCGCGACGCGTTTCTTGTGGCTGGCTGGAGCAGGCTGGTCGCACCATTCTCCAGGCATTTTTGATCGATGCGAGACGGCTCTCGCACCAGCATGACGGAGCAGTTCCCCAGCAAGGTGGCGAAAGTGTTCGAGGCCAATTTGCAGGGGGCGCATCTCTCTCGCCCCATGGGCAAGCTGGAACATTCTGGAGCAGGGGGCATGGGCCAAAGGTGTTGGCAATATCTACAACTTCAAGCGGATAGTTCGACTCGTGTTCGCCAACGCTTGCCCGACTGCTTCGAAATCACATGCTTGGGGATTGCAATTGCTTCCTCTCTGCCCGTTCTGCCCCCTCGCAGCACGGCGTCGAGCTCGGTGCTG